GCTTGGGCACATTGAATCTTCATAGCTTGAACGATTGAATGCCTTGGACTTGCAGTATGCATTGTACATTGCAATTAATTCTGTTCCCTATATGTATAGGATTCTATTTCTGTGTTTAATACATGAAGAGTGCTATCTAAAAATGCAGGGGACCCAAGTTGTTCATATAATGGCCATGCATAGGCTTTACCAATTCTTAAGCATTCAGTTTCACCAACTTGATTTATTCTAAATTGAAGGAACTCTGTGCAATAGGGATGTGCCCTATGTATCAATAACATTTCAACGGTAGCAACCTGTTCAGGTGGCAGAATAGTGCTTTGAAGGCCATTTGTAGAGATGAGATTTTGTTTAGAAACAGACAGCTGTCTATAGACAGGTGTCATATGGAAACTGGATTTTTCTTCTTTTTGATGGTGAGCCAGAGAGGGCTTACATCAATGCATTGGCTGTTACAGAACAGGGCTTTTTTTTCCATATCTTGAATTGAATATAACAAATATTCAGGATTAGATTTCTGATTGTTTAGTGTGTGTGTTTTTTTTTTTAAGTGATATATTTAAGGCTGTAATGTGATTAGTAGATGAACTGATACTAACCCTGTGTTTTAGTCATGCTATTCTCACAGTGATTTATTTTATTATTTCTTTTCCCCAGTGCAGATATTGTAGCATTATGCTCTTCAGTGCATCTGTGAGAAGTTGTTTTTGGACTAATATATATCTATATCTGGTCTCAACACTGATTGAGTGTGGTGAGGGGCTTCAACCTGTTTTCCCCTGGGAGGCGAGTGCCACGTGGGTGTCTCGGCCTCAGTCCTTTCCCCCTAGTTAAACTCACAAACAGCCTGACCCGGTGCCCCTTCGGTACAGGTTTGTGACAGCATCTTTGTATTTGTTAGTGGCAAGAGGTTTGAATTGGATCCAGCTTTTCAAGTCTGGTGAAAACCAAACTGCCTGATGAAATAGCTACTTCCCAAGAAGCTTCCAGTGTAACAGCAGTTCCTCAGCAGTTATTTCCCCCTCCAACATCCTCCTCACAATTCTGTCTTTTTTCTGTAAAAGGAATGATCTTTCAGGTTGCTTGTTTATTTCCATAGGATTCATTTCTACCATAAACAATGCTGGTGTTCTAGTACCTTGCTCTTCTTGACTTACCTTTTTTGACCTCTAGGCTGATACAGTTTGTTAGAGAATGAAGTTGATGTTTTAACAGTAGTTGAATTCATCTTTCAGTGGCTCTGAACAGGTTGTGTTCCCATGTTTTAAACATTGTGCTTTTCTATTCCCAAGTGTAGTTTAATGATGTGCCTCCAGCTGAGAAGTACCACTTAACATGGCAAAAAAAGAGACTAAAGTTAGGGAGAAAGGTGCCAAAGAGTCTTAATACAGTGCCAAAAAGTATTAGTAATTGTTCTAAAAGCTAAATTTCATTTGTTCTACAGATGTTATGAAAAATCCAGTTGTGTATGTGCATATATCTTTACTATATGACATACAAACTTTATTATTGCCATTTTTGAAATAGTAAATTTGTGTTAGTCTATGCTGGCTGAGTAATCAAAAGGAGAACCAATACATGTTCTTTTGCCTTTCAAAAACACTCATAATTATAATAATAGCAGTGATGATAATGTTAACTTCTTCCATCTTCTAAAATCCAGCATTAATTGTTTTGAAGTAAATTTTACTTAAGAAGGTGGTCTTAATTTTTTTTATTACCAGTTCAGTTTTCATTGTGCAAGGTATACTTCTGTCAGTAAGCAATAAACAATTTCTAGCGTGGTTGCTTGCCCTACTGCTGAAAACTCTTTGGGCATTTATGTCTGAGTCTTTTTATGTATATTATTTTAATATCTTTATGTATCTACCTGTTCACTTAATTTATCACAGGTACTTGTCTGTATAGCTTTTCTTTATAGTAAGTAAAAAGAGTTTAAAGAGTAGTTTAGTAGATGTTTAAAAAAAAGATTGTGAGATTTGTATCTTAAAGCTGTCAACTATATAGGAAAACACTTCTTTTACACTGGTTCTTTAAATGTACTGCAGCAAAAATTGAAAAACTCTTTAGGTAGCAATGCTTATAGATTTAAAAAAAAAATTATTATTAAAGGATTGTTTCTTTGCAAGTATGTATATGTGGGTGATTGTATTCTGGCCAGTTATACTTCTAGGAGTAACATTGGGACTGCCGAAAGAATTATTCAAATACAGACTTCAGTTTAAAAAATAAAATAAATAGGCATTATGCTATGGAAGAGTTAGTCTGTCAAAATTACCTGTTGAAAACCACACAAAACAGCTTTGTAGGAACTGATCTGAGCATTCATGGTGCATACTTTTGTGATGATGTAATAAAAACAAGTTTCTTACCAGTTTCAGAAAATCTTTTTGTTTAGAAACATATTTTCATTTTCTCATTCCTCATTGTTAATGTTTCATATATAATTTTTGAAACTTGGGATTAATTGAAATTATTTTGAAAACTTAAGTTTTAAAGGCATTGGAAGTCTAGCTTCTATATCCCTATAATTCTATTCTTTGCAAGTTTGTAGTATGTTATTTGTAATACATTTTTAAGCCTGTCACACTTTACGATGTTTCTTTCTAGTTTTTTGTAGAGATTTAAGTTGAGAATCAGGAAAGACTATTGTCTAATGAGCTTCAGTTGAAAAAAAAAAATACTTTCATGAACTTTGGCTGTCTGTCACTTTGAGGATCAAGTGCTATGTTGTGTAACTTTAAACAGGTGAAATCTGACTAATCAGAAACCCAGTCTTCCCAGGTTTTCCAAAATTATACAGGTTAGAGCCTTGTGCAGACTAAGGAGGGACCTCAGATCCTAGTTCAGTATGTATTTCTGAAATTTTGTGTTCCATCACAATTTGTCCTGTGCTGCAGACCAAAATAAAATCCATGCTGTTGCATGGATTTCACCCCTTTTAGCATTGTCAGTTGGAGGTGCTGCTAGCTAAATTTTGACCAGTTCCAATGCCGTTAGGTTTTGTTGTTTTATCTGCTGTAGTAAGTTGGAAAAGACTTAGAAAGTGTTCTGCAGTTCAAGAACTTTTTAAAAAGCTCAGTCCTGGGTGTGGTGTCTTTTTTTTTTTTTGGGGGGGGGGCTGTAGGAGAGTTAAGGGATTACCTCCCTCTAAGGCGTAGTATTTTTAACTAAGATAACGTCTTGAATTTTAGTTTTAGCTAGATCTAAAGATAGTCAAAGTGGAAGGTAGAAACATTCAAATTGGAATGAAGATGTTTAGCTATTAGAAGAAGATATAAGGGAGTGAGGGAAACAGTTCCTGGTATATAGATTTTTTTTTTTTTTTTTTTTTTTTTTCCCCCCCCATCATGGAGGATGACCTTATTCTTTGAAAAGCAAAAAGTATGTTCATAGGTTTGGTTGAAGACCCCACATTTGTCAATTCTCCTAATAGCATTTGAAAGGTGACTTAAATGTTGTACCTGGATTGACTTTTCAAATCTGTATCTGGAGTGTGGATGTTTTTGACTTGTAAAAATAAGAGTCCATTTCATTCCCTGCTTTTATTCTTGAGTAACTTGGCATGGTTTCGGCAAACAGAATTAAGAACTTGAATACTTGATAATGATTTAGGCACACCCTTAGTAAAACTTCCTCTGCTCAGGCGGTCATAAATGAAGGCAATAATGTGATAATTGAGAACTTCTTTATTCTCTACCCTCTGGAAATCATAGCCATCAACTTTCTTACAAAGATGAGGCTTTTAGATGATTTAACATACATAAATCCTTCTTGTTTATTCCCAGCTCCATTTATTGTTTCTACTTTTTTAGTGAGTAAACAAAATTAGTCTTGTTCTTTTTTTCTTTTGAGTCCTCTTTGATATAAGCCTATCTTTTGAATTTGAACCCTAATAACTACAAATATTTTTCTACTAGTCAGTTTGTGTGTTTTTTTGGAACTAGAGGTAGCTATTGAATTTCTAACATGAAACCAGAAACTTAATAGCTCACACACTCACTTGCTTCTCTCATATCTGAATACATTCTGATTTTCAGCATTGATTAATTCATTAGTATCCATATATGTTATGACAGTGTTGTTCTTTAGCTCTTGACTCTTTCTGATGTTTGCTTCACTGACATATTTGTAGGCAGCAGTTGTATTAACTTCTAACCAAAGTAAATATTTTTTCCCTGTCCTCCTTTACAAAGCAAGACTTCTTCCATCCAACTGGCTATCTCTGTATTCCAAATGTTCAAGAGAAAAGAACTTTGGTGGAATTTTGTACAAGAATTCTGGACAATATTCTGAACAATCTTTCATACCCATGTTGACTGCATTATGTTTATCTTGTGTTTAGTTCATTTTTTTCTTTTCTGTAAGTGAGCTTGTAGTTCGTAATGGATATTTTAATACTTGGTCCTTAAATTTAGAGGTTTTGGGCTTCACACTTTTGTGATGTCAGTCCTCTGGGTCATCCCCTTTCTCCAGTGAAATCCTTCTTAGCTTTAGTAATGCTTCTTGTTTTGCTCTGATGCTTCCTTGCTTATTGTGTCTGGTTCCTTAGTGCAAACAATCTTTAGAACTTCCGTTTTTGAGCTCTTCTAGCAACTATTCACTGTTTTTCTCCTTTCAGAAAAATTCTAGGTAATATCGTAATTATTTTTTTTATGTAGTTTAGAGTTCTTAAGCGAGCCCTTCTGAGTCATAATTAATTTTCTAACAGGGTAATAGTTGAGGTACTTAACTTAAAATGAGATGAAAAGGATTTGCTGTGGTTTTTGTCTTGTTTAGAAAATGAGCTATCATGGAGGGGTATGGGAGTTAGTCTTCAACAGTCCAGCTTTCATGAAACTTAGTAACATTTGTCTCTTCAGAATTTGTTCTGAATCCTTAATTTTTAAGTAAGCTATATCATAGTTTGAGCTAAATAAAATTAATTTATAATTAAAAGCATTTGTTAATAAATTTAGTATCAGTAAGCTTTTCAAATGTAGTTTAAATATGTCTTTCAGCCAATGGTAATGACAACAAGAAATTCAAAGGTGACGATAAAATGGATGGGGCTCCTTCTCGTGTTCTTCACATCAGGAAATTGCCTGGGGAAGTGACAGAAACAGAAGTTATTGCTTTAGGTTTACCTTTTGGTAAAGTAACCAACATCCTGATGCTAAAAGGGAAAAATCAGGTAATTCATTGCTTTCTGTTTTTAGTATGCATACTTTCTAAGTTCAAAACATGTTGTTAAAATGATAAGGAAATGTCACAGTAAGTATTAAAACAAACAAAAAAACCCCAACCAACCCTTTGTTCTTTTTTTTTTTTTTTTTAAAGTGAACCTATTCTATCTTTTAGTAAATTTTGTGGGAGCAACAGGGGTTAGTGGCAGCTGAATAAAGTCAAAAGTTTCACAGATGAATTTCTGGGGAGCTAGCTTTGCAAATATAGCATATAGAGAATGACGTCCTCTGAAGATTGATACTTCTCAAAATGTGTTGTCAAACTCTAAGTGTTACAGTTTTTTAAGTGCTAATATGAAGATTATCTGTTTTGCGAATACTGAAGATTAACTGTTAAATTACAGGCATTTTTGGAACTTGCTACAGAAGAAGCAGCTATCACTATGGTTAATTACTATTCAGCTGTGACACCTCATCTTCGTAACCAGCCTATCTATATCCAGTATTCCAATCATAAAGAGCTGAAGACTGATAACACACTTAACCAGGTATGTTTACTGTTAAAAATGAGGCATGGCATGTGTGCTTCGCCCATGTGGCATATGTTTAAATTGTTTGGGTTTGTCCACACTCTAACACTACTGTAGCCTCATCTATGAGCATTACATTTAGTGATACTGAAGGAGATTTGCTTTCTGTGTGATCCTACCCATTGTAATGAATTTTCGTATCGTTTCCTTAATATAAAAAGCAAAACACTCTGAAGTGTCATTTTACTTCAAATTTTTTCATAAAGTAGGTTTTCCTCTCAGTTTAGAGACTGTAGGATGTAAAAATGAGCTTTCTAACACCTGAGATTTTAGTGGCAATTTAAATTTTTCCTAGTGAAAATGACTAGTGCTAATGGCTATATTTTGGTGCTTTGAACAATCACTCTGGTAGCACTGGTAACCTCAACTTTTATGGGATCTGCTTTTCTGGAGAAGACTAATAATCACAAGCCTAAGAAAAATAATGTTTTGCTCTTGCCTCTGCAGAGCCTGTTTCAGAATAAATATAGATATAATATACATCTGCTATTAGTAGAACAGGAAAGTGAGCAAAAGGAACATGGTGACACTTTTGTACAAGTTATGGGGGAGAAAAGAGTCATCAGCTTGCCACAAGTCAGATTATTATTTTAAGGTTAATTTCTTACATTTTCTTTCAGTTGTTACAAAAGACGGTGTAAGTACCAAGTTACAGCTTCTGTTACTTGTGTCCTGTGTGAAGTAAGGTGTGTAAACAGCAGAATTATAACTGTTAATTTTGAAAATTATTTCAGGGTAATCTGTTAAGACATCTTGGTTCAGATCAAGTGTAGTATGGATTTTCTTGTTCACCTTTCTAGACATTCCAGTTCCTTAGAATCTTTTGATAATTTGTCTGCTAAAGGTATTTTTTAAAATTGAGATTCTTTAATTTTTTTTTTTTAACCCCAAATGTCAGTTATAAAGAAAACTTTTTGTTTACTTTGGAAAAAAGAGACTAGAGGATGAATTCTGTCTGCAGATATAGTGAATGGACATATTTCTTTAAGGAGCTTTCTCCTACATTGTCCTCTGGCTTCTGTGGTGATGCTGGTTTTGTGCTTCATGTGCCCACCTTTTCAACGTAAAGGATGTGCTGACTTTTCTGCAGCTTTTATGTCCCCGTACACATTAATATCCAATATTAACATATTCCCAGTCTTTTGGGTCTCTATTTCTTTAATATAGAACTAAAATATAAATAGATACTTGACAGTAAGCATTCCATCGCTAATATCTCATGAGGCATTCTATAAAACATAGGATTGTTGAATGTTCTTTTTCTCTGTAAGGAAAGAGAGAGATGCTGCAGGTACTGCTTGTAGTCTTTTTTTTTTTTTTTTATATTTATTCTCCAATCTTAAATTTTTAATGTCTATTTGAAAGCTTTCTCATCCAGCCAAGCTGATTTTGAAATTTTCTTTTTCTGCGTGTCCAAACAGGAAGATACGATGAAGTCAGGATGTTAGCACATGTAACTGGGAAGATAGCATAAAAAATTGGAGAATTTTGGATCCTGGATATTCTTTCCGACCATAGTAACTGTGATAATTTGTAATTACGTACTTAGAATGAGTTGAGTTTGAATAAACAGGTTCAAAAGGGACCATTTAGGTTTTCATCTCGGCTTTCTAAATCTTATGAAAATCCTTTTCCTGCGAGACATCAAAACAGTGTGCGAGGAGCATATAAACTCAGATTTAAAACAAATGTCTCCTACCTTATTTCATACGGTTGGTATCTAGACTCGGAAGAACTGATAATTAGAATGATCTGTAATTCTCTTTAATTATCAGTCTGTAATAAATGCATGGGTTTAGTCTTTCCGCACAGACACTGCAACATGTAGAAATGTTACACGTTATGAATGGTGTAGCTGATGTTTTAAAATTTAAATTTCACAAAAATAAAAGCTGTACATACTATTCAGATATATTCAAAAGTGACTGATACAAAATGTTATTTTGAACTTGTTTGAAAAAATAATTCATAGATTTTTAACCTTATTTGCCATTGTTAAATCCTGTATTCCATCATGTATTCAATACGTTAACTTCTGTGGAATGAAATATGATGTATAACCATACATGGATAGTGCTAACAAGGGTCATGTGTTAAAATTTACCTCATAAGTTTTGGGTTTTGGTTATACAGCCTAAACTTTTCCAGTCACTTTAAGGACTGAATTTTAATTGATATGTACTGCTTCTGTGCTTACAGGAATAGGAAGTCATTGTGCAACTTCCAAGTGTTTGGCCAGCTTGAAAGTTGTGTGTTTCATATGTGAGGGGGGAAAAAAGAATGTGTTGTAATAAAAATGTTTTTACAGAGTTATAGTAATCAATGTTAAATGTAGAGGTAAATTTTGTTTTCCCAACTAGTTTTCACCAGGTCTTTTTTTTTTTTTCCCCCCACTTTCCTTACTCATTGATTCGTTTCAGTATGAGGAGTATCATGTAAGTTGCGAGACATGAAATTGTGTAGTAGCTCTAATACCTTTAAAATATGCAATATGCATTAATACGGTGGTTATTTTTTTTTACCTGGCATGCTCACTTGTCTCTCTGTTTTGTATTGTTTTGCTTCATAAGGCTACTGTAATGAAAGTATTAAATGGAAATCCTTTTTTTCTGCACTTTTTCTTTCTCAGAAAAAGACATCTAATCTTTCTGATACTGTCAGTTCTGGCAGTGGAAGTAGTTACATAGATGTGTGTTCTTGTGATGTCATCCCGTGGTTACCTTTGAATTTCTAAAGCCCTGCTTGCATTTAAAAACCAAAAAATCCCCACACATGAAGAGGATTTTGTTTTTCTTTGTATGAAAAATGATGGGTATCAGACAGCAGTTTGTTCACCTCTCTGTGGCTGCTGCTTTCTTACACTTGTCAGTCCCGTGTAGTATTTAATTGTGTTAAAATGGAGAAGTGTGGAAGTGTTAGTTTAGCATTATCCCTTCCTATCAGAGCCTTCTGTATAATTAAAATGGCAGAGAAATATTAACTGTAATACAGTCCCTTGAAAAACAGGATAAAGTTTTTTGGTTGCTGTAGAATTGGACTTTTGTTGTTGGTTGGTTGGGATTATTTTTTTTTTTTCTTTAAAGGAAAGAAAAAAGTCTATAAAGAGTCTTGAAATCTACAAAATCCTCACTTTCTTTATCCTTACTGGTAGAAAATAAGCTTGCTACAAGGAAGATTGATATTGGTGCTGTTTGATGCTCTCCCTTACTGTGACATAGAGATTAATGTTTTCATTTTTTTTGCCTCTTCTCACAGACTTGGACTGCATTGCACTTATGTTGTGTTACGCCTAGCCTGAGTTTTTAATAATAGGACTACTTTATGTTTCTGAAGTTAACTATATTAATAGTGCTGGTTAATTTATAGCAGTTATCTTGAAATATTTTTAAAATTGTTGTGTTTTTGTTTTTTTTAAAGCGGGCCCAAGCTGTTCTTCAGGCAGTGACGGCTGTACAGGCAACAAATGCTCCCATTAGTGGGACCGCTGTTAGTGAGAGTGCAGTGACTCCAGCTCAGAGTCCAGTACTTAGAATAATTATTGACAATATGTACTACCCAGTAACCCTGGATGTTCTTCATCAGGTAAGCCAGATTTCATTTTAGCTTAAGCTACAATTGGAAGGAACTCATGTGTAAAACTTTACAATATTTTTGGCAGATATTCTCTAAATTTGGTGCTGTGTTGAAGATAATCACATTCACAAAGAATAACCAGTTTCAAGCTTTACTGCAATATGGCGATCCAGTAAATGCACAGCAAGCAAAACTAGTAAGTAGAGTTCTCTTTTAAGGCTGCAGAGCTTCCTGTACTTTAAGCATTTGTAAAATGTTAATATAACAGACTACTGACCATAATAATATCATACTCTTCCACCACTTGTGTGAATATTTTGAGATTAAAAAAAATAAATGGGAGTTACTATATAATGTTGTTCTATTGAATAAAATTAGTGTTTAAAGATATTATGTTTTAGGTTGTTATGTCTAAAGAATTGTATACATCTATGATTATGAGCAAATATTTTAATAAGACTGCACAGAGATGAAATGATATGCAAGACTGCAATAGTGGAAATGTCAACCAGAAGTAAAAATGTCAAATTACTGTTAATGCATAATTAATTCACTATAAGCAGCAAATATAGTAAAACCATTGGATTATTGTTAGTAGATACTTTCTAAGCATCAAAACACAGATGTGATTTTTGCATGGGGAGTATTATAGGTTTGTGAAAGAATTTAACTTTAGTATCCTAAAAAAAAGAGAGGTAGACTTTATTATAACTGTAAATGGCCAGAGAGAGAGTGCAGTCTTACTCACGGTTCCAGACTATGAAGAAGCTTTGCAGAAGGGACAGATGAGAGCTGGATCTTCTGCTTCATTGGAAACTCCTATGCTGTGTAGGAGAGACAAGAACTGGTTTTATTCATTATAGTAGGAGGGAGGCTATGGATTAATTATGACAAAGATCAACAGCATGTTATCTAGACTAGATGTTTTGTATTAGTTAATGGGATGTGTTCACATCTGTGGCAATAGAAAAGTTGAACAAAGAGGGGGAAGGCTAGATTTTTTTTTTTTTTTCCCACGAGATAAATATAATAAATATATATTTTTAAACCTTCCCATGCAATGTGGGTTTGTGGAAGGCTGATTAAAATTGATGTGTTGGTGAAGTGTTGCTCGGCACCATAGAAAGTGCTTATTGCCTGTAGATGAGAGAATAGCTGAGAACTTCAGGAAAAAGTGAAAAGCTCACACCTCAGACTAAGTTGGGAATGAATATCTCTTAGTAGAGGAAGTAAAAACAGGTTTAGTTTTCTGTTGTAAAGAATTATGACTATATTGAAATACAGACCCTTAAAAATACAGACCTGGAGGGTGGCAATTTTTATCCTCATCAACAAATGAAATACTGGCTGTTGATGGAAAAAAAACTGTGATGTGTTCCAGACAGGGAAACAGAAAACGCAGGACATGTTTTCAACAAGCAAAGTGTAAGGTTTTTATGCTATTGAGAAAAATAAAGCTAACCAGAGACAAGAAGAATTGCAGCTTCATTTACAATGACCTGCGTTAAGATAATCTCCCGAAAAGCGGTCTGGAAATATTTGTAGAACAATTTAAATTGGGTTATCTTTTTCAAAGATAAATTGTGTCAAGTATTAGGTTTTGGTTTAGAATAGAGGGAGAGGTGAATCTGTCACTGTAATGCATAAAAATTTGCTTGAATGGGATACATCTTTCAGGTTGTAAGTAGGTTTAAAGTAGTACAACAAACTAGATCTTTAACCTCCAATTGCTGCAGAAATCAGCTGTATCCATTGTGATTTATATTTAAAATATTTGATAAGCAATTGGATGCTAATGTGTTTGTTGTAGAATATTGTAATTCAATCTCGATTTGTGTTTGGGAAGTTTTTTCAGTAGTAGATATTAACGCTGCTTTTAAAGTGCATTTTTTTTATAGTAAAATACGACATCAAATGATAGATCTTCAGATTTCATTGGTTTGAATCTTCTGTATATTATTAGAAGTTTTAATGGAAAGATGACGTGTGAAATGGACTGTAGTGATTTGAAAATTATTGGTGTAATTCTAGGAATGTATTATAAAGAAGGGACAAACTAACAAAACTATGAGGTATGTAAGAGTATGAAAGGAACCTAAAAACTTCTTGCTGTGGAGTTCTGACAAACTGCTACTAGCTTGTGGGATACTGTGTTGTTAATAATTTCAAAAAAGGAAGAAAAACCATGTATTTGTTTTTCTAGTTTTGGATGTTGTGATTAGAGCAGCTGTTCTCTAATGGTAGCTCATGTGTGAATGACAAAGCTTCATTGTATAGTAGTAACTCCAGCGTGTACAGGCATTGTCAGAGTGATCTTGGAGTCTTAGTGACAAATTGAAACAGTCTTAGGTTTATAGTTTCATATTTTAACCAATCTATATACAAATAGACAAAATGCTAAGAGTAATGCCTACTGCAAGTATTGGAGAATGCTGAAATGGAAGAAAAGTTGGATTTCCCTGCTACCCTCACAAGCGAGATGGAGTAAAATAAGTATAGTTCTTGTGGTTCAGCTACTGTGATGAAACATGGAAAGGAACAGATGACTGGAAAAGAAATCCTTCAGTGTAAATACATCTGGAAATACAGTAGGAACAAGAGGATATGTTTGCTACACTTAATTTGCATTGAGTTCAAAATTGAAAGCATGGTAAAAGAGTGAAGAAGTTCTCAGTTTGTTTTCTGGCAGTTGTTACTATAGAAGACGATGGAGAAATTTAATTTTCCGCTGGCACTCTTCACAGGAAATCTGAATGTGACCTTAATAGAAATTGAAGACTTATTAAGGAAGGTAAAGAGCAATTTGAAAAACTAAGTGATGTAAGTACCAAGGAGAGATGCTATTCAGTTGAAAGTTCTGAGAAGATAGTGAAACTGACAAGACTGTACAATATGAAGCCTCTAGCCCTATGGGATCACTTTACTATTTGAATGAGCAAGTAGTGAAAAATTGCAT